GGCTAGATAGAATTTAATCACCTGGCCACACCTACTGCAAAGGAGTCTAAGGAAGCTTGTCTTTTAATCCAGGGCATTGCCACCACAAATATCTCTGCCATAGAGTAAATGAATAAATTGCAATTTATTAGAAGAGGATCCAAGATTAAAACCTAGAGCATAGGGGTGCCTGGGTGGCTCAGTCAATTGAGCAGTCAGCTTTTGGTTTCAGCTCAGGTCAAAATCTCAGTGTCCTGGGATTGAGCCCTGAGTCAGGCTCTGTGCTGGGCTTGGAGTCCGCTTGAGATTCTCTCTCTCCTTCTCTCTCTCCCTCCTTCTTCCCCTCCCCCCCAAAAATTTTAAGAAAAGAACAAATGTATAGTGAAAAGGAAGAAATTTCACCCCAGGCCATTATATCCTTAACCCTCCTGACTTCCAGTGTCTCTGCCCAGAAGCAACCACTCTTACCAGTTTCTTGTATAAGAAGGAGTCCTATAAAACTCAAGAACCTTGTGAAAATGAATGCTTGGTTCTTATTGGTAACAGTGACAACTCTGATTTGTATGCAGTAAGTGGAAGAGCAGGCTGAAATGATACCACCTCTAAGAAACCCATCCTTGGTTAGGCCAGGTTGATGTCACTGCCTCCCAAACTCCTTCATGTCTTTTTATAATTATCATTATTTTTTGTTGTGGGAAAAGATATATAACATAGAATTTTCCATTTTAACTCTTTTTAAGTGTACAGGTCAGTGGCATTGAGTAAATTCACATTGTTGTTCAACCATCACCACTATCCATTGCCAGAATTAATCCTCATCCCAAACAGAAATTCTGTCCATTTAACACTAACTCCTCATTCCCTCTCCGCACAGGCCCTAGTAACCACCACTCTATTTTCTGTCTCTATGAATTTGCCTATTCTAGGTTTTCTCATATCATTGTAATTGTACAATATTTGTCCTTTTGTGTCTTATTTTATTTGGTCTAATGCTTCAAGGCTCATCTGTGTTGTAGCATGTTTCAGAATTACCTTCTTTTTAAAGGCTGAATAATATTCCATTGTATGGATATTCCATATTTTGTTTCTCTGTTCATTTGTTAACATTTGGGTTGTTTTCACCTTTATGCTATTGTAAATATTCTTTTTTTATTTTTTTAATTTAATTTTATTATGTTATATTAGTCACCATACAATACATCATTAATTTTTGATGTAGTGATCCATGATTCATTGTTTTCATATAACACCCAGTGCTCCATGCAGTACATGCCCTCCTTATTACCCATCACCGGGCTAACCTATCCTCCCACCCTCCTCCCCTCTAGAACCCTCAGTTTGTTTCTCGGAGTCCATAGTCTCTCATGGTTTGTCTCCCCCTCCGATTCCCCCCTTCATTTTTCCCTTCCTTCTCCTAATGTCCTCCATGCTATTCCTTATGTTCCACAAATAAGTGAAACCGTATGATAATTGTCTTTCTCTGCTTGACTTATTTCACTTAGTATAATCTCCTCCAGTCCCAACCATGCTGATGCAAAAGTTGGGTATTCATCCTTTCAGATGGCTGAGTAATATTCCATTGTATATATGGACCACACCTTCTTTATCTATTTGTCTGTTGAAGGGCATCTCGGCTCTCTTTTTTTTAAAAAAGTATTTTATTTATTTGTCAGAGAGAGAGAGATACAGAGCACAAGCTGGGGGAGCAGCAGGCAGAGGGAGAAGCAGGCTCCCTGCTCCCCTTGATGTGGAATTCAATCCCAGGACCCTGGGATCATGCCCTGAGCCGAAAGCAGACACTTAATCAACTGGGCCACCCAGGCATCCCTATTGTGAATATTCTTGCTATGAACATTGGTATACTAGTATCTGTTTTGAGTTTCTGCTTTTAATCCTTTTGTATCCTTCATGTCTTTTTATAACGTACCATGATTTATTGTATTTGATGTACAGATGCTTTAAATTCCTCATTAGATTCTAATCCCTTGAGAGCAGGGCCTATAATATTTTTTTCTACTCACAAATTTACTCATTCCAGCAGTTATATATTGAGTACCTGCTGAGTACCAGGTACCAGGCTAGTCTTTGGGGACATAGAGTGCAATGACAAATATGACCTCTATCTTCTTGCAGCATAAGTCTAGTGAGGGACATATTTTTTTCTCATTGCATGTAGAATAATGCTTTGCACAATATAAGTATTCAACAAATATTTGTTGACTTTAACCAAGTCAGTTAGTAAATAAGGAAATAAGTAAATTAACTTATTGACTTCATGTGTCCTCAGTAATTCGTGAGGGTATCGTATCAGTGATTGGATAGCAGTGAACATATTTGGAACAAATGTAAACTCTGTGAGATTAGAAACATGGCTTTCTTGTTCGCTATTGTATTTCTAGCAAATAGGATGGTGTCTGGCACACAGTATGGGTTCAATAATTTTTAAACAAATACTGTTGACATAATTTGTTCTAAAGAACTGTAACAAGTTCTAATGAACTCTGCCCATATATTGTGGTTGGAAAAACTGAGACATTTAAGAAAAGCCAGAAAAGTAGTGACCAAGTCAGAAATTGAACCTGGGTCTTCTGACCTTCAAAGAGCTTTATGCTCTTTATCACACTAGTATGTAAAATTAGAACTGATGTTCCACCTTTCTGTGAAAGATGTGAACTTTAGCTACAATCACACACAGTATGGAGAAGGTTTAAGGCCTTTACAATTCCTAAAAATGATAATGAATCAGATTCCCAAATAAGCTTGTTAAATGCTATTATTAAATAAAGAAGATAGTAGCATATGATGATGAATTGCTATTTCTGCTGTGAAGGATGAGGTGGTGTTGTGCTGCCTGCTTGGGAAGGCCTCACCAAGGCGTGTCTAACTTGATATGTCATTTCTTTGCTCATTCAGCTCAACTCCATTTTTGGGGTTTGGAAATGATACCCAGTTCTTGGCTGTCAATTAATTATTTAGGCCTTTTGGGTCTTTTTGAGCAACCTGGTTTGGAAACATTTAATTCTATGTTATATGAGTTAAAGTTTATTTCATTAGGAATTCTAGCTAAATTTTTCATGAGTGAGAAGGTTGAAGCCTTTAATTATTTAAAAGTTTTTGGATTATTTGTGGATCTTAAAGCCAAGCTATTTTTATTATTATTTTATTATTTTTAAAATTTATTTTTATTTTTTTTATTATTATTTTTTAGAGAAAGTGTGCATGTACACGTGGCGGGGAGGGGTAGGATCAGGCTGGGGAGGGACAGAAAGAAAGGGAAAGAGAGAGCCTTAAGCAGGCTCCACACCCAGTGTGAGCAGAGGCAGGGCTTGATCTTACGACCCTGAGATCATGACCTGAGCCAAAATCAAGAGTCAGATGCTTAACTGACTGAGCCACCCAGACACCTTAAACCAAGCTATTTTGAAAATTTCAGGTATTTCAGGGACGCCTGGGTGGCTCAGTTGTTAAGTGGCTGCCTTCGGCTCAGGTCATGATCCCAGGGTCCTGGGATCGAGCCCCGCATCGGGCTCCCTGCTCAGCGGGAAGCCTGCTTCTCGCTCTCCCACTCCCCCTGCTTGTGTTCCTGCTCTCACTGTGTCTCTTTTTGTCAAATAAATAAATAAAATCTTTAAAAAAAATTTCAGATATTTCAGCTTCAAAGAAACCTCCAGTATTTGAAATGTGCAAATTCGTCTTATAATAAAATCCAGGAAGAGCATAGACTAAATTCACACCCAAGTTTAGCTGATCAAGTTCTGAGACTATCATTGGCCTGCTGATGGCACAGGAAATAGAGGACCTTAATTCAAAAGGTAAACAATTTTGTGTAAATATGTAAAGAGTTTGTCATTTTAAGAAGAGTGTATTGAACAGAAATTCTCTAGAATAATTTGAAGGGAATAGAGTACTACCAAGTGCTGGCCCCAAAGTTAAAAAGAACTTGGATACTTTTGGAAAGAGAAGAAGCCTAAATGTCACACTTGTTGCCCTTGGTTTTAGTGTGTGGTTTTTAATTTTTTTGCTTTTAAAAAATTGAGATATAGTTGATATATAACCTTGTGTAAACTTAAGGTTATAATATGTTGATTTGATACATTTGTGTGTGTGTATATATACACATATATATATTGCAATATGATTACCAGTGTCGCATTAGTGAACACCTTCATCATGTCACATAATTATTTCCTTTTCATGGTGAGAACAATTAAGACCTGGTCTTTTAGCAACTTTAAAGTTTATAACACAGTATCGTTGACTATAATCACTCTGCTCTGCATTAGATCTCTAGGGCTTATTTACTAGCTGCAAGTTCATGTCCTTACACAAGGGGTCCCGGTTCTGCCACTCCCCTGTCCTGCCCACCAAGCTTCTGGTCATCACCCATCTGGTCCTTGTTTTTATGAGTTCCCCGCTCTTTTAGATTACAGATTTAAGTGACATTATAGAGTATTTGTCTTTCTCTGTCTGACTTATCTCACTTGGCATAATACCCTAAAGGTCCATCCTTGTTGATGCAAATGGCAGGACTTCTTTCTCATGGTTGAATAACATTCCATTTTATATACATACCACATCTTTTTTATCTATTCATCTGTTGATGGACACTTAGGTTGTTTCCATATCTTGACTGTTGTGAAAAATGCTGTAATAAACATGTCGTGCAGATATCTCCTCAATATCCTGTTTTCATAACTCCTAGAAGAAACCATATTGAAGAAGGTCCTTGACATTGGTCTTGGCAATGATTTTTTGACTATGACACCAAAAGCACAAGTAACAAAAGAAAAAATAAATAGCACTATATCAAACTAAAAAGCTTCTGCACAGCAAAGTAAACCATCAACAAAATGAAAAGGCAGCCTATGAAATGGAACAAAATATTTGCAACTATATATTGGATAAGGGTTGTTGTCCTTATTGATGCTCAGACTTTTCAGATGATGAAATTTGTTTTTGCCAGAATTCATACTCAGTTGTAGTCTGACTCTAAATCCACTCTGTTATTTTGTATCTTCCAGAATAAAATCTGTGCTTTCCTCAACCCAGTAGAGCTCCACAAAAGAGTCCACATATGGTCTGAAAACCACCTCCCTAATATTAGTCAGCTGGCCAGCTGGAGCCCCAGGCCAGTCTTGTGCCTCCAAAGGAGTTGGCAGGTATGGATGACTAGGTTTGGATTCTGAATATCTGAATTTCCTTCACATTGTGGGAATTGCGTTATAGGATATTTAGGCTCCTACTGTCCAGCAGAGATTGTGCTACTGTTAGAAGAGAGAGGTTTGCCAAACCTCTATTTTTACAGCTCCACATATTCTTATGCAGTTGTCATCAAGTTGTTACTTTAATACCATAGTCAATCATATGTAATGTTACAGCAAAACACACCTGACATGCTCATTAAAACAAATATCACATTTGCATAATCACTGTTGATGGAAAGATACACACACACAGAGGCAGCTGGAAAACTAATGAGGTTTGTTTAAGCAGCAGCCATCCTCCTCATGCACACATGTTCCAGGAACTTTTATGGAACTTCCTAGCTTCCTCCTACCTTCCTACCCCCAGTTCTCTTAGAAGAGTCTGAACTGGTATCATTAACTGGAAAATTGTAGCAGAGAATGGAGGGGAGTAATCTGATAGAAAATGAAACTAGGAGTGAGAGAAGGTGAGATGATTGGAAAAAAGGGGTATTTCAGAGTGGGTATTACTAAATAGGAGTGAGGCCAAAGCAGGGCCTTCCAATAGGGCAGTCATCTGATATGATGATATGGTGGTTTCATGTATTTGAAGAAGGGGGAGGTTTATTTAGTGTAGCTCCTGAGGGCAGAAAGGAGCCTGCCACACCAGACCCACCCACGGTGGAATGGGCTGGAAGGTCCAGGGTCTGCTGTCTGATTACCAGGAATGGGAAGCACAAGGAGGCCTAGGATATGCAGAATGACTTCCAGAGTGCTTTTAATAAGTCATCTCAGTTGATCATCCCAACCCCACTGTGAGATAGTTATTACCCCACTTTTTGCAGGTGAGGACCCCAAGGCTGCAAACAACGAGCAACCTGCCCAAGCTCATGCAGCCAGGAAGTATCAAAATGGAGACTGGAACCTAGAACTTCTGACTTCAAGGGCCCCAGGTAGCAAGTAAGCATCCCAAGATCCCATAACCAGAAGATTGAGGGACCAAGGCAGGGAGAATGGAGAACAGGACAGCTGTCAGTTTGACAAAGCACTGTGCTGGGATTTTTAACAATCTTGTGAAGGCAGGATTATGATCTCCCTTTAAAAAAGTAATTCAGCACTGGGGCAGGGTTGAATCTACTTGGGTAGTAGTGAAGTGGCCTCTGCCACAGGGGCAGGGACATAAGCAGATCATTCCAAGGCTACTGAAGTAGTTTGACTGGGTTCCATGTCTCGCTTTGATCTATAATCCAAACTCCACGGTGAACCTTCCATAATGACATCTCTGATCACATCACCCTCTTGCTTAAATCTTCAGTGGATTATATCCGACTGCTCTTTGGGTAAATATCAGAATCTCTGAGGAGACTCACAAGGCAAGGTATGGCCCCCCTCCCTACATGGCCAAACCTCATTTTGCCTTATATTTTACTTCTCTCACTGTGTTCCAGCTATACTGATAGGAGGCACATGCTCTCTTACTCAGTTCAATCCTCAGATATTACAGATGAGGCAACAGATTAAGGGATATTAAATGGTTTGCTTAAGGTCAAACAGACTCTTGTTTTCCAGGTCAGTGCTCCTTCTACCACACAACATACACTGCTTTAGTTCATGAGTGTTAGCCTATTCTAATGTGACCAATAGTGCCCCACAGAAAAGAGTGAAACAAATAGTGTGTGACTGCTTGTTCAACTCTAGTGAAACCATTAATTTTACTTAATTAAGTTCTTTTTAAAAATTCAGGATAGAGTCAGAGTCTGGTAAAGCTAATAATAGTGTCTTTCTTTGGATGAAAAATCTTTAGAACACCTTCAGTCCATCAAATCATATTTGAAAAATGCTCGTGTATTATCCTTGGCTAATGATAGGATGATAATGTGAAGTAAAGATTAAAGGTCAGTTGTCAAATGTAGCTATTAGCCAGAAGAAAGTCTTCCAGACAGTGTTTCCTGAAACCTTTTGAGCCCTGACATGGTTGATGAACAGAGTGGGTTAGAGCCATGAATCATCAGAGCCTCCTGTCCGACATTGTTTCCTTGGGTAGTGGCCTGGATCTGTTCAAGTCCCAAGTTATCTGATGTTCCTTTGTTAAACTGCTTCAGAGTGTACTTTGTCACCCTATTATTGATGGAAGGCCAAAAATGACACTGCTCAATTGTGAAAAGCTTTGGGGACTATTATGGGAAAGTGCTTATTTCATGAATTAATTCCCTTTGCTGCCACGGAGAACCGAGTTAGTGTGTTCACTCAGTTGGGAAGATATGGGCAGTCTGTAAGAATGATCTCGAGGTGGGAAATGATGGAATGATCATTGTCAGAGGTATAATGCATGTCACGTGAATAGCTGTGCTCCATTCGATGAATCCAGGTGAGGCATTGAAGAGAAAAGCATTTTCAGCCTCTTTATCCTCTGGGACTTTTAAAAGTTCTAGAATTTTAAAAACAAGCATTTGGAAATGACCCCTCCAAAGTACTTTTCAAGTTTACCAAAGATTACCATGGCAACTAAATTACTGAATGACTAAAGGAAGTGTGTTTAATGACGTTTTTCAGCCCATGTACAAATTCCCTGTTTATTAAAGAGGAAATGTCAGGGGTTGAGACTATCATGCTCTTTGTGGAGGCAGAGAATGAAGATTCTCTGGGGAATGTATATTCCTTAGCAATATGAAAGAAGTGTGTCAAAAGCCTCCACATTCATTTTTACAAAAGTGCCTGATGACATTAAAAGAATGAAATTGTTCAATGGGACACCATTGCTTCTTGCATGAGAGGCAGAAAGGCAGATTTTTAACCATAGGAATAGCTGGAATGATCTGGTGGTAGCTTCTTTCTTACATGCATTTTTGTGTTCACCTATATTCAATGCATTGAATTTCATACCTTCCTCGGTGATTTTTTTCATGATCTGAAAGTGGAAGGAGGAACCAAAATCAAGCCTTTTTTTTTCTTCTAAATTTAAAATTCCAATATAGTTAACATACAGGATCATATTAGTTTCAGGTATATAATGTAGTGATTCAACATAAAGTCAAGCCTTGTTACACATTTTCAGAGGACATTATACAATTGCTGCTCTGGGATTTCACTTTAACTTTTATAGACCCAGTGTTTGTTTATTATTTATGTATATATTCTTAGAAAACTTGTTTCTTTGTAATGTACTGTAAACATTTATCATTAAAATACACTAACCTATTACTTAAAAAAAAATCTGTAAAAGGGGCACCTGAACTTGATGTAATGAGCACTGGGTGTTATATGCAACTGAAGAGTCACTAAATTCTACCCCTGAAACTAACAATAGAGTATATGTTAACTAAATTGAATTAAAACAAGTGTGGGGGGGTGCCTGACTGGCTCAGTCAGTAGAGCATGAGACTCTTGATCATGGGGTCGTGAGTTTGAGCCCCACGTTGGGTGTAGAGCAGTACCTAAAAAAAATAAAATCTTTAAAATACACTGATCTTTGGTGAAGAAAATAGCAACAAAACTATTTGAAATGGAAGTTTTAGTTTCTAAATTAAAGTGTTTATAGCAAGTGCAGATGTGTCTCAATAAATGAACCTAGGTTCATTTATTTATATACTCAGGTGATTTTTTCTTCCTAGACTCCATTTGAAATTACCACATCATTATATAGATAGAAGTATAGATTCTTATGGTTGGAAGGGACTTTAAAAGTAATCTAGTTTGACACCCATACCCACCTAGTTTCAGTTCTAATACTTCTACTGACAGGGTCATTGTTATCCCCATTACTAGATAGCAATAAATGCTTAAAAATTCTTTCATTAAACTAAAAATAGATACCAGAAAACTTACATGTGCTGAACCTTGCTTCATTTTTTGGATAAATGAAAACACAATATGTCCAAAACAGCAAAAATGATAGACTTCCAACAGATTATTTAAGTGCCACTGGACCAGAAGTTAAAGGCTTATGTGAAATGAGGCAAGATTTGTCTAGAAGGAAATTGGGCCCTCTTTGGGCTAGACATTGAAGGAGGTAATAACCTTGTTTTGTGCTCATGGCTTCCTCTTTATCTTTCCCCAAATGAAAAGCATCTTTGGCTTGTTTCAGTTTTGTGAGATGATAGAAGGGAATACAGGGCAAAGGTTGAAAGCTGAGATGATCCTGGGACTTGGAGATACAGGATTTTGGTCTTTAGATTCCTGTAGCCTTGAAGTGACTAGTCATTTGGTGGGACATTCAGGGCGAGACTCCACAGAGTGAAGGGCATTAGGGGATTTTTACTGATTCACAGAAGGTCAGAGTAGTTATGGAACTTCCCACCACTAAGAAATTGACCACTTTCTCTGGCAACAGTGTAATTTTTGAACTGCTCATTGAGCAATTCTACCTTTGTTGAGTTAAAAACCATTTATCTCCCTATTGTCTCCCTATAACTTAGACTTATTGGTCCTAGTTCTTTCATCTTTGTCACATACTTCAAAAATTTGAACATAGCAACCCCATGTTGTTTTCAGGATGACTCTTCTCCCAGCTAATCTTCCCAGTTCTATTAATAATTTTTATGTGAAATGAAATCAAGGACAATTCACTGTCTTGTGTCCTTCATTGTACTTAAAAATGTTTAAACCATTTTTTTTAGAATCTTACCTTGGCTAAACATTGTGTTCAACAGCATTTTACCTTTAGAATACAGTACATACTACTATGTATGTTCTGATTTAATTCTCATAACAGTCCCATGAGATACACATTATTAGTATCAGCACTTGGCTGATAAGGAAACTAAGAAAACTAAAGAGTGGTGAACCAACATGCTTGAGATGGTGGGGCTGATATTCCAATTCCCATCCAGTTCTCCGAACTCTAGATTCCATGTTATTAATCACCACAATAGACTGGTTCTGATTTACTAATAAACCTATTAAAGGGCCATATATGGTGCCAAATATATGATGTTAGATATGATCTCACTTGCATGGAGCAGGGTAGAAGTCACTTTATTTTGGAGACTTTGCTTCTGGTAATGTAACCAAGATCTTATTATTCTATGGCAAGCACATCATCCTATTGACAAACAGTTCCTTGGTTCTTAAAATATGTGCTCTTATCAGGAAATGTTTTCCCAGTTATCACTTGTGTGGTTTGTCTTTTGGACATGAGTGTAGGAATTTGCATTTATATTAACTTTCATTTTCTTACACTTGGCTTATCATTTAAGATCTAAATTCTGGCATCTAGCACCATTAGCTTTTTTCTTGGTTTCCCATCATAGGCCAGGGTTCCTCATAAGTTTCAGGGGAATGTTCTTTATTGTGTTTTCATTTTGATGACAATTTAAGAAATAGGAATAAATATTTTCTGGCAAATCCTAATGACCGTCTTATTACCAAATACAGATATGTAATCTCAGAGCCTGCCTTTGTGCTGATACTGTGTTATAAACTCATGGGTGCAGAATAGAGGAAGACAATGGACAAATGATCCATTTCACTCCAGGAAAATGTCATAGCCATTATGGTGTACTGGGCAAATGCAGTTTTCCCAGCAGTTGGAATATGATGGGTAAACTGAATCATGCAGACAGTAGTACAGGTATGTGGGACTCAACCTGTCATGGTTCAGTACTATATTCATGTTGGCTCTTTGGTTTCAGCAAAATATCATGTATCACATTATATTATTGTGTATCAAATTGTATTAATTCAATTTGTACTTTATTTGATTTTGTAATATGTTATTGATTTTGTAATAACATTAATCATTCATTAATGCTTTAGATGGATTATTTAATTTAATCCTGAAGCAACCTATATAATAGGAATTATTATCATTCCTATTTTACAGATGAGGAGACCAAAACCTGAAGAGTTTAAGTAACACTCAAAAAGACACAATTTATAAGAGGTGGAATTAGTTTGAACTTAGACATTCTGATTTTAAGTGTCTGATCTCTTAGCTGTTAGGTTTTATTTATTTCAT